GGCGCAATTTCTAAGCGCATTATACGCTACTCGAGACAATAGGGATTGTGATAAATGGACAATATTGCCAAATAATTCTACAGCCTGTTTTGCAAATAAAAGAAAAGTAGCTAACGATATCGGCATTTAGTATGAATATATTTTATATTCATTATTTAGTATGAATATATTTTATACGGACAATTGAATATCGTCAAATAATTAAATCGTTAAGTAATTCTGCGGCCCGCTTGAAAAATAAAAATAAAGCAGCTGATGTCGGTGTCGCGTTTGTACATATGAATATTCTCTTATTCAGATGACTGAACATCAAAAGAGAATCATTCAGTATTTTAATTTAAATCTTGTATGTAATGCAGGCTATCTATCAAGTAATCCTCTGATTGTTTCGAGCAATGTATTTTATTCAACGTCACAAATACACACATGCAAGTATCTATTTGCAATTCGCATTGACTCGAACGATATTTTTTAGTCCCACATCCGTCATGCAGAATTTTGTTTCTCTTTCCATTTTGACTCACCGAAACGACTTGCAGTCAGAGCCGGCCACGTTCCGCTTCAACTCTGTAACAAAAAATTCACATTTGCTCATCAGATTTGACCAACGAGTGCGGGCGAGTAAAAGAGTAGTTTACCCTCTGCGATCGTAATTCAAGTCGAGCCGGAAATTATATCCCAGCTCTAGATCGCCAAGGGTCAAACAGAGGACTATAGTAAACTTGTAAACTTACCTTCAAGCCGACTCTGCTTCGCCCGAACCGGATCCTCCGGTGCGGTTGATACCGGTGCGGCATCCGTGTCCACCGGATTGCTGTTGCTTTCCGCAACAACTGAAACAGAAAAATAATTTTCCCGGTTGATAACCTGCGGTAGAGAGAATATCTTTGATCGGGACCAATCGAAAATACGGATATATTTTGATACGGAATTTTTATCTTTATATTTTTGTTTCAACATTGAAAATTTAAATGGGTCTTGAAGCTTTCAAGAGAGCTGATGAGGAACAAGTTACAAAGGCAAAGATCGTAAAGAGTTGAACACAGATGTGTAGGAAACTTGTAAACTTTACCTTCCGGCCGACCCTGCTCTGCCCGATCCGGATCCTCCGGTGCGGCATCCGCGTCCGCCGGATTTGCTTCCTGCAACGTCTGGAACAAAAATTTAGCGTTTTTGGTTGGTAAGCTGCGGTAGAGAAAAAATGGTTGGTCGGGATGAGTGGAGAATATTCGCTACGATTTTTTTTCTTTATTGATATTGAATGTCTAGATAGGAGCTCTTGAAAGAGCTGACGAAAGAAAATGACAATAAGAAGCGGAGACAACAGTTGTGTCTCGAAAATATTCTTTTACGGATGGACATTTAAATTCAGATCCCGTAACAAAAGTAAACAAACTTGAAAGAAGCGCTGACCGAGAACAAATAGGTCGCAGTCTAAGAAGCGATATGACGTTGAATATTCTACACAAGACCAATATTCTCACACAGGAATTGGGAATGATTCAGAATGTTTTATTGAGAACATGATGAATTCGAGATCCACGTCCATGGACCGTTATCCGTCTTTGTCTGGATCAATATCTTTTGTATACAACAACGCAATAAATAGATAGACAGACAGAGATTGACGAGAGTAATTGCAAATTCATAAAGTGATGATTACTAGTCGGATGATGACGGATTGTGAATGCCGAGCGCGAAATTCCGACTTCTTATTCCCGGAAAATTCATCAAACGTACGCTCTCGTTATCGGAGACCTCCCGCGTAATAAATGATTCCACATACCTGGAAACGTGACGTATCGCTGCCGGCGTTCTGCTTCTCGACTGCTGAAGTCCTCCGGATTTCACTCGCTCATGCTTCTAATGCTGATACTCGCGATTCGACCGTGCAGTTAATGAATGAGGTGCCGACGCGATGCCGATTGAGTATCTCGAGGACCGACGAGATATATTTCTTTTAATTACACGAGACGGAAGTGACGAGAGCGTCGCGCACGGTTGCTGCTGATGGAATGAGGTCGAGTACGCGAGGTGCGCAACTATTAATACGAAGGGCAAAAAGTGTCGTCGCTCGCGAGCCGATCAACACAATCGGCGCGATGTAAACATTGCGGCCTCGGCGGCGGTTGAAGCAAGAGAGACTTGCCTTTGAACGTCTCTTGTTTTCTCGAAGGTTTCGGAACGACGAGGGGAATGCGAGGAGGCCTTTCAACTGTACGCGACATTGATGCACTCTATTTATTGATTACTGAAAATAAAGAAAATTACTCTGTCGAAGCATCGGACATTTGTTAGCTTTATGTTAATTAAAGAGGAATGTATACGATTAGAAAATGTGTTAGCAACTAATTGTACAGAGTCTAAGTTGTTGTGACGCCGTTTTCAGAGAATAATTAAAGGTCATGGTAGCGTTAAAGAATGGAATTTCATCCTATGCGAATTTAGTCGCGCTCTTATTAAATATTAGTCCTGTATAAAATGTCGTATTTAAAAGTATTGTTTCGCATTCACGAGATTTTGTCGTGAATTCTGCTCTCAGATTGGATCGCGGGTGAATACTTTTTAATGCGACGGGGAATAGAACGTGAAAATCTTGTATGCCTCTGAATCCGAAAACGATTAGGAGAAGAAGTGAATATTTTTCAATACGAAAGTTCGCATTTAAAAATTATCGATTGCGATTGAATACAAGGCATATTTGAAACGAATTGAATCCTTGTTAATGCGAAGCATTCACTACTGCCATCTCGCATTTAGCGCGGTGAAATTTAATGGGAACTAATACTTTTTATTTTCCCTTTCTTCGGATCAGAAAGCAGAATTCAGACGTATTCAAAATGTCAATACTTTTTAATATGTTTCAGTTCGACATTTTATACAGGGAGATTATCCGCTGCGGACAATAACTCTTCTACTTTTCATTTAATATTCAATGATGATAAATAACATTTAATTGCATTCGTTTGGCTTTTTTTATTTCGAAAATAAGAAAATATATACCGGGGTGAGATTTTACCCATGACAACATTAACGTGATTTTCTTTGATGCTTTTTTTAAAAGTTCAAATATTTCGTCGACTCGCGGGATATTTATAATCGGAGTCTCGTCACGTTAATTACGTGAATAACACGTGCTCCTCCGAGCGGATCGAATGCTCACCGACGGCCACTGTCAGTGCCACGAGCGAATGTCCGGAGCGGACGGGATGCTGAATTAAAAAATAAGACGAAGTGAACGGGACGCGGACAACGATACATCATACGTCTCCATACATGTCAAATTGTTTATTATAGAAGAGACTTTGATACGGCAATATATATTCGAAGATTTAACATTTAATACGTACTTTTATTTTTTCTGCTCCTCCCCCCCTCTTTCCCGCTCTTTTTAGCCGGGCATAGTCTGGCATAGAGATGGCAACTGTCATTGCAGCACGGACATAAACCGCCTGAAAGTGGATGTAGCATGGACTTCCATCACATGCAGATTTTACCACCGAGACCTGAAAGTGGATGTACTATCGTAGTTCCCCTCTCAAAATGGATGCAGATGGCGTCCTTTCCTAGTGCGGAAAGTCGGTGTCGCAGAAAATGTCGTATTGGCCGCTCTCAGGTTACTCTCTGCTTGTAGTATTTTTCTAGATTTTCCTAAAATATTCCAGAATATTTCTGGCGCGAATCTAGAACTCTTTACTATTCTCTCTGTGTTCGGATATTCTTATTTTTTTGCAGAGGTACTCTAGTTCGCCTTAAAATCTTAAGCATTCAAACTTAAAAAAAACGGAAAAAAAAAATTTCGTCTTTTTAAAATTTTTAAGATGGGCAGACCCTTTAAGTGATAAAGTTGTAAAATGGATTATCCGGCTGCAAGAGCACTTTTAATTTTAATTTGAAAAGCGCACGTTATTATAGAAGAGGTCAAGTAAATATTCCTCGTCGCCTACGACACTGTAAGACTCGATAAACAGTCCCCTTGAAGCTACACCGCTGGGGGACAAGCACGAGCAAACGCAATGTACGTGCCAAGTCCACGGTCTTAAGGCTCGTCTACAATAGCTGTAAGAATAAGGCTGTAAGGCTGTAACGTAAGCTATCAACGAATGAAAATATTTCATTTCGTGTCTTGCAACCTTGCAGACTTAAGGCTCGTCTACATTAGCTGTAAGAGTAAGGCTGTAAGGTTGCAAGACACGAAATGAAATATTTTCATTCGCTGACAGCTTACGTTACAGCCTTACAGCCTTACTCTTACAGCTATTGTAGACGAGCTTTTATTCTTACAGCTAATGTAGACGAGCCTTTACATACAGGTCTGGAAACTCCGGTGGTGAGGGTTGTTCCCTTATTGAAGCCAATTTTATTTTCTGTAATAGCCACTAGAGGTGTTGCGATCTAGCTCGCTCGGTGGTGAGACGCTGGCGGGGACGGGTAAGAGCAGAGTGGTAAACTCGCGTATTTGTTACACAAATATCGATTGAAAGATGTTAATCTGGTCAACCTGAATTAATATACTGAAATATTTCTCTGGGTGTTGCTTTAAATTATTTCGCAAAGCAATATAAAAAAATGAACGCTTTATATGATATAAGATAAATTAATGAAATAAGTCTATAAAAGAAATATACACGAGTTTTTCTTTTAAAAATTAAGTACAAAAAACGAGTTATTATTTTATATGTGTAATTTGGTATTTCTATAGTTTTACGTATTCAAGTTGTCAAGTCAAGGTAAATATGAATAAAAACTAACTCTTCCATTTTCTCTCCTTTTAATTTAGTTTCAAGTTGTGCAGGTATTTAATTTTTTAAAATGAAATAGGTATAAATTAAAATGAATTCTTCAATGTTTGTCATTTTATTTTGCCACAGGTATTCCATAATTGAAATTGACAGTGTTTGGCTAAATGTGAAAAAGTATTGCAAGGTGAGAAAGGACATTATTAATTTTCGCTTACGTAAGCATTTTATTCATTAGTTAATTTGGACAATTTTTTCTTTACAACAAGTTTCTTTTTTAATTTTAAATTTTTCTGGTGAACAGTTTGCCTCATTCTTAATCTTAAATAATAAACTATAGCATAAGACAGGATTTCAGATGCATGTTCTTTACAGGGAAACGTGAAGGTATAAAAATCAAGTACTTTATCGAGAGTTACATCGAAAAGGTCAACACGAGAGGAATATTTTGCAAACGATGCTTCTATATAGCGGATTAAATGAAAGAAATGGAGATTAGCGTGAATAAGACCACCGCGTGATTTCATTTCAACCAGTTGTGACTCCGAAGATCCGCAGCTGGTTTTCAATCTCACGGCTTCTTCACACACTGAGCAGGATTTATATTTTTTAAGGACTTGCTTGCATAAATAACCTGGAAAAACAATGCAATAATTTTTAACCATCTTTTAAAATAAAAACGCCCCGTCCTTAGGCCGGTATTCATAGTCGGATGTTATATATTACATCGTCTTAAGTAAACACTTAAGATGACCTAAGCCAATCACTGAGCTGTATTGGAAACTTAAGATGTTACTTAAGACGATCTTGAAGTAAGATCCGATTATTTATATTCTATCTTTTTCATATCAACATTACAATAAATACTTTTTTTTTAAGGCAACTCACCGATGAGTGCTTCGACTATACTGTTTTCTTGAATTGAAGGTTTCATGACACCAACTGAGGACTGGATAATGCCTGGAGAATTTATTTGAGAATTCGAAATTCGCTTCATATTTTCATCCAGTGGCTCATAATTTTCCTTTCCTGTTGGAACGTCATTGAATTTTGTGGGCACAGCGAACTGCTTGAGCCTCTGACGCTTGTATGCGACCTTCATTAGAGAAATACAGGATATGAATAAGAACCTCTTCAAACCGCACATGCAATATTTACATTAAACTCACCCGTGCAATTTCTTGACCATTTGCGTCGAATCTTTATCCATTCACGAACAATGTCTTCCTCGTTAAAATGGTTTTCATACACAGTATCTGTCTGATTCAACTTTACAGTACCCGGAATAGCTTTTTCCCACTTCTTCCACGTAACAATATCTTTCGGCACTCGAAATAGAGAACGTTTCTGCTCGGTTCTGCTGCCGCTTTTATAATTCGGTACCACACATCTCATTTTTCAATAAGTTTGTCACTTGCGAATTTTGTCAACAATTTATTATCTCACGGTTTTGCAGTTTTCAGACTATGTTTACTGCGAGTTAGACGACAGCGCCGTGGCCGGGCTACAAACTATTTGGCTTCAATAAGGGAACTACCCCCACCATCAAAATTTGGAGGAGTTTCCAGACCTATATGTAAGACCGTGGCCAAGTCGGCCATGGCCGGACAAGAGGCTCCAGCCAATCAGAAATCGGGAATTCGTCGCCTGGCGAAAAGCGGCTATATGCTAAGGCGAAGAAAAATGTCCTCCAGTTAGATTCGGGCGCTCAAGACGAATGGATCGCGTCACTCTCGATCAGTATATTGCGTCGTCGTTGCGAGGTTAGTAGTGTTCGAACGCTTAATTAACGCGGACGCAAGGTCCTGTCATTAACGAGTGTAGTCTGTAATCGACACGCGAGGATCTACAGCTTTTCGTGTAATTTTGAATACGTGTCTGGACGAAATCGCGAAAAGATACATCGCAGTCGGGCGGGAATAAATAGCGTACGTGTGCGCGGACGCGAAAGGTTTATTATCCAAACGTTATTAATAGTTTAATTAGTGTAGTGACAGTGTTCGTGACAGTGAGTGATTCCGGGGGGGACGAAAGTGTCCTTCCGGAAGTACAGTGACGAACGTCCTGGAGAACACATTGACATCTGAAGGATGTGGCGACGTCCGAAGACAAAGATTATTTTGGTTGAGGATTACGGTGCCGTAAAGAAAGATCATCAATAAGAAGACGACAACGTAAGTCGCATGCATTAAGTACCGCGTATTTATTATAAAACGGCAGACTACTTTCGGTGTAGCAGTCGTAAAGTATTATAATATCTGCGTGAATAACAACGCGCGCTCTTAGTATCGCGATAAACAATGTGAGTTTAGGTCGGGAACATTGCGAATTTTATTTTCAATTTGTATTTCGATATTCCATTTCCTTCTTATAGTTTCCGTGCGCTCTTTAAACAATTTTACAAATATCCCTCACTATCGTAGCCTCAGGGGGACCACTCCGTAAAGTTCTAGGATGGCGGGGAACTTGTTTTATAATGTATAGAATATACATTATATAGTTAGAGGGCCTTAATAATTAGAGGGTCCGCAAGGCCGTAACAAGCAAAGGCTCTTTCTTAATCATTATTCCAAAATTATAAATTTCTTTTATATGCTATCTAACGCTCTTTAGCCGCTTTATAATGATTTTTTATGTAACTTTTCGGCTTTTAGCGCTAGATTTTTTTATAGCATAGTCGCACTTATTATTAATTATACATAAATTTTCAATATTTTATGAAACTAAAATTATACATTGTATTGCTTACTCTCGCTTTAAAACAGCTTTTGGCTAATTAAATTTGGGTCATAAACTTTCAATAAATTTTAACAAAATATTGCTTTTTAACGCGATTTACGCATATTTCTGATTTTCCCATTGTGACCGGGTCTCGAACGATCTATGGTATTCTACGGCCTTAGCTGGTCCTTTCTAGCGTTCTTCGATTTTACCATATACAAGGCGTATAAAAAGTACCGGGACGGTGAAATATCACAAAAACTAAGCATTTTAGAAAAAAATGTTTCAAATAAAAATTGTTGGGTTTCAAAAGATCTATTTAATAACATTACGAGATTGACCTTGGGTGGCATCGCCAAAGTCACTTTGAATTTTTGAAATCGGACCCCCTACTTTTTATTGCATATTCTTGTAGCCTTCCTTCAGATATTTTCAAAGTACTATAATTTTTTCACATTGAGTAAGTCATTTCAAAATTATCGAACTTTTTATGATAAGATGTCTAGACAGTGGTTGGAGCGGTGTTTCGTGATTTGTATATCAGACACATGTAATCAGTGCTGGGTAACATACATTTCGAATGTATCTTGATACAGAGACAGGCGCATGCGAAAAATATATTTAGATACAGATATACAAATTAAAATGTATCTAGAAAGAAATATTTTAAAAGTATCTCAGCTGCATATCAGATACTTTTAAATTATATTTTGTTGTAGTAATGATAATATGTATAAAATATACTGAACAAATCTTTTATTATATATTAATCTTGTTTGTTTATATTAAAATTACATATATTGTAGATAATCTTGCATGTCAAAAATGCCTCAAACATATTATTATTTAATCTATTTCGCCGTAATATTAAAATTTGATTTCCAATGCTGAGTAAACGCTCAACCGGTGCTGATGATGATATAATCGTGTTGAACTTTAAAAACAAATGTTTCATATGAAGAACGTGCTATCGATGTGATATCTTTCTCCTTGTCTGACGAATAAGAAAAAACTGCTATGCCGATGGCACTGTCAATTGTTTCCACGTTATCTTGGTCTTTTAAAAATTTAAAGAATTATTCATCTTCCACAGAAATACTGAAAAGCTATCAGAAGATATTCTGGTTTCATTTATTAAATATGCATATTTTTTGCTTCTGTAATAAGCAAGTTTTTACAATATTCGTGGTTCAAGGTCGTTTTTGAAAAAATCCTTGCTTCTGGAATCAAATTTAGTTATTACAACTTAAGTTTAGGAATAGTCACAGATGAAATAATATAAGGTTTATTGCATGTTAAAATTCAATATAATATTCCCGATCTTTTTCTAATGCCACTTATTAGAGCATTTTTCAAGGGTTCGCAATTAGGTAATTCGTGAAATGTCTGCAAATGAATTTTCAGTTGCAGCAAAGCTGGCAAAACGTATCCTAAATAACAATAGTTTTCTTCCTGTAGTAAATCAAGAGTGCATGCTAAACTTTTCATTACCACAGTATTCTTCAAAAAACTCAATCTCGATCATTTTGAACCTTGGCTTATCTAAACTATTGCAAATTTCGTTTAAGTTGATTTTTAATCGATAGCAATTTACAAACTTCATCATAACTTGAATTCCAACAAGTGGGGCAAAGAACCTTCATTTCATGATTTCATTTTCACAGTGACATGCCAGAACACATGAATTGCATCTTTTACTTGAGGATCTCTGCATAGATAAAAAAAAAGAAACATACTTTTTTTCCATTATCGACAAAATACATGAAAATGTATCTAAAAAGCAGGAGTGTATCTAGATATAGATGCATATGTTCTAATTCGAATATATCTCAGATATAGGCGCAGATATACGAAATGTATCTGGATACATGTATTTAGATGCTGCCCAACACTACAAACAATGAATGGTGAACAATTTGAGCATTTGATACATTAATCGTTCTTTCAACTGCTGGTTTTCCTTTATGATCATTTCGCCTTAGCTGGCTGGATACTTCTCTCTTTGATCTTGCCTTGGTTGGACATTTTATTACAAAAAGCTCGATAATTTCGAAACGGCTTACTCAAAACAGAAAAAATTATTTTGTTTTGTATAGACAATATGCTCTACTTGTTGGGAATTGGAGCTAGGGAAAAATTCGTCCGTAAAGGATTAATGTACGACACTTCATATGTTTGACACATGTGCTAGCGGAAAAACAACTGTGAACGACTGTGAATCTGTCGGAATTTCGTTACGGAATTATGCATAGACCCAATTGAAAATGTCTGAAGAAGGCCTACAAGAATATATAATAATACATAGGGGGTCCCATTTAAAAAAATTCAACGTGACCTTGCCCTGACCTTAGCGACGTCACCCGAGGTCAAACTCATAATGTCAGTAAATAGATCTCTCGAAACCCTACAATTTTTATTTGAAACATTTTTTTCTAATGCTTAATTTTTGTGATATTTCACCGTCCCGACACTTTTTATACACCCTGTATGAATAAAACAGAAAAATGCTACATTTCCGAACCGGTTGAGATACGAACAAAGTGCAAAGTGGTACAAACGACTCTTTATCGAACTACATTGTCCGTTTTAAAATATCTTAAAAAATAGCGGAAGTATTGGGTCTATGCATAATTCCGTAACGAAATTCCGACAGATTCACAGTCGTTCACAGTTGTTTTTCCGCTAGCACATGTGTCAAACATATGAAGTGTCGTACATTAACCCTTTACGGACGAATTTTTCCTTAACTCCAATTCCCAGCAAGTCGAGCATATTATTTATACAAAACAAAATTATACATAAAGACTTAAATATTGGAATAAAAAGATAAAGAAAAATATATATTGCTTTATGAAAATCTTCGCGAATAACTTTGCGATGCCTTAAAGCATCGCACGGCTTTCTGAGGAGTACATGTAGCGATGACTATAGTCACCTCACGGACTTAGAAGGTTAAGTGAAAGCTGAAATTTGTGCTGACATTTTAAGAAAGTATTCATTGAGATCCGTGACGTATACGAAGTTTAATTATATTTTGAATATGGAAGGAAAAAACGTATATTTCCGGTGCATTTCGCTTTTTTATTTCCGAAAAGGCAAAAGCGCATCACAAACGCAACACAAAAAGATGCGCCGTATACGGAGAGAATGCTGCAAACGAAGGTGTATGTCGGAAGTGGTTTGCGAAATTTCGTTGCGGAGGTTTTGATCTCCAAGATGCTCCTCGCTCTGGTCGGCCAGTCACTACTGATGTCGATCAAATCAAGATTTTAATCGACTCCAACCGGCATTTGACGACTAGAGATCGGATATAACCTCAACATTGATCAATCAACTGTTTCAAGACGTTTACGGAAGCTTGGAATGGTAAACAAGCTTGATGTTTGGATGCCGCACGAACTAAGCGAAAAAAATTTAATGGACCGAATTTTAGCTTGCGATTTGCTGCTCAAACGTCATCAAAACGAACCATTTTTAAAGCGGATGATCATTGGCGATGAAAAGTGGATTGTCTACAACAATGTCAGTCGAAAAAGATCATGGTCGAAGCGCGAAAAGGTTGCTTAGACGGTCGCAAAGACTGGATACACCCGAAGAAGGTCATGCTGTGGTGGGATCTGGTGGTATCTGGTGGGATTAAAAAGGAATCGTCTATTATGAGCTGCTGCCACACAACAAAACGATTAATTCGACCAAGTACTGCTCACAACTAGTCAAATTAAAGCGAGTAATTGATTAGAAGCGGCCCGAATTGACAAACAGAAAGGGCATTGTGTTCCACCAGAACAACGCTAGACCACACGTTTCTCTGATGACCCGACAAAAGTCATTGAGGCTTGGGTAGGATGTTTTGGTGCACCCACCGTATAGTCCACACCTTTAAACTATCGCTTGTTCTGGGCGCTACAGAACAATTTGAACAATAAAACCTTCAGTTCCCTGGACGTTCTCAAAAACCACTTGGACGACTTCTTTGCCTAAAGATCTCAGGACTTTTATGAAAGAGGGATAATGGAGCTCATGGAGAGATGGCAGAAAGTTATTGAACAGAATGGAACACATTTAGTTGATTAAAATCGCTTTTTTTGCTAAATATTTTGCGTTTGAAATTTATTCGATTTTCGCTACGGAATTATGCATAGGCCCAATATATTTATTATACTATACAATATTATACTATACTGTATGTTGTATATTATATTATACTATACAATACATGCTATATAACATGTTCAATATTTAAAAATACAAATTCTCAAATTTTAACTTTAATTTAAGTTAAACTAATTTAATTAAAAATTTAACTTTAATTTAAGTTAAACGCTGGAAAGATTACCAAGTTTTCCTTAAATATCTCAAAAAATATTAAGCAAATAAAAAAATGTTTCAGACAAGAGTTATTCAAATTAGTTGGTAGAAAAAGATGATATAATAAAAAATTTGAATTTCCATTTAAGAAAATTGATGATCAGTGAATATCTCGAAAGTGGCGCCATTTATAAGCAAAATGCTATCACTGTCTTATGTCTCTTTTCAAGCCAAATAACTTTTGTCTGAAACATTTTTTTATTTAATACGGTGTTTCTGAGATATTTGAGTGAGTCCTTTAAAATGGGACACCCTGTATAATTCATATTATAACTTCTTAAATCACAATTTTTATGCACGAAGAAATAGACCATAATCTCCTCATGATACGATATACGAAAAAAAGAATATCCCGCAACAAATATAATGACAACAAAGAAAAGAAAAGAAAAAAAAAGATTATTGTATATATACTCTCCGCTCTTCCTTCCTCTCTCTCTCACATACGTTTCATTTAAAGTGTCGTGTTCTAATTTTAAAACGATGCGTGTGACAGGAATATCTGAAAGGCTCAGTCCGAACGCGAGACGACTCCGTTCATGTTCATTTTGATCGCTCTTCGCTTCATTTTTCTTGTCGAATCTGTGCTTCTCCCTATACCTCCTTTTATTTTCTGAGTAACATCCATTCGCATCTTCGCATCATAGAAGAAAACAAATATTAATACACACTTGTACCAACGGAAGAGGTAAGATTTCAGAATTTAGAACTTGACAATCTACTCTACACCGTATTATTTCACATTTATCTATCTACTGCTCAACTCCGTCTTAAGCATCATTCGTCATCATTGATGGAATTATTTCCAAAAAAGCTATGTACAATTTGTTCTGATAATTATGTTGTCTCTTTAACTGCCGATTCATTTGCATTTTATATTGTCTTTTACCAAGTATATGATACTACGAATTATTGCTTTCTCTCGCTTATACCGATTTCGAGAAATTCCATTCGAATCTCTTGAAAAAGAAAAAAGGTGAAAGAAATATCGCGCATCCTTTTCTGGTATACTTATTTTTTTCTCCGCATACATTTCAACTGACCCAACTTCGACCGATTGTCTCAGTCCGCGACGCAACTTGCATTATTGCGTATTGTTCCTACGCCTGCGCAGAATGCGATAGCGCTGTGAAGCGATTTTCGTTTAATGTATGAATCATTGATATTTCTATTACTATACATGTGGATTGACAGTCGAGAGTACGGTATTTCGTTTCTTCGTCGGACGAATCGTCCGACTCCTTATATACAGGGTGGGCCACCGAAAACGAAACAAGTTTTCGTATTTTTGGTATGCTTTTTAGTATTTAACTTAATTAATTCGAAAAACGCTCAGACACGTCAACTTTAGTTTCAAGGGCGACATGTTAATTGGCTATTTTCGTTCATCAAACTTCAACTCCATAAGATAAATTAATTTCACCATAAAAATTTCAAATGGCAAAATGGTATCTAGCAACATATCATTTGAAAGCGCGTTGCTAGTAAATTTCTTATTTCTTTATTATAAGTAATTTCTTTATTATAGTAAATTTCTTATTTCTTTATTTATAAATTTCTCATTTCTAGCAAATTCTTCTTTCGTTTCGTTGCAGGACGTTCTTAGCGATGAATCCACAATGTCGTTTCTTTTCCACCGTTTTGACTTTATTTATACTAACGACACAGAGCCATGGTATTGCACGACCGATTAAAATTGGTAAGTTTTTCACATATGTTTACTCTGTGAAAATCTATTTCTTCTTCTCTTTTCACTCGTTATTGTTGTTAACAACGATACCTTCATCTTGTACTCTTATGAAAAAAATCCTCAATTTTGGGACTAAACACTAAAAAATGGGTGTTTACCATGAAAGTTGAGTGTTAACCGTCAACATTCGGTGTTAGGTGAGTGTTGAACATCAATGTTGAGTGTCGGTTGGGTGTGACTAGCAAATTTTCGATGTAACTTTGATGTAGATTCTCGTTGATGTAGAATATTGAGCGTCAATTGGGTGTGACCATCAATATTCGTTATTATCTTAGTGTAGACACTCAATATTGGGTATCGGTTGGATGTAACCATCAATATTCGGTGTATTATTGGTGTAGACACTTTTTTTTTTTTTTTACGAAGGGGAAATCCATCATGGATACCCTGACCCTCGGGGAAGGGCCAGGGTTATGCCGGACTCCTACCGACTAAAACCTCCCCGGGTGGCGCTGCGAAGGGACTTGTCTCGGAGTCTACGTAACTGCTATCGAGGCCCCGAGTCCAGACAGTCAGACTGTCGTCTTTCCCTGAGGGGTGAAGGGAGGGGGGAAGCGAGCCGAAGCTCCTCTTCAACCACTGCTCCCCCTCCACCCCTCACGTCCCGTCTCTGTGGCTGGGAAGAGGGAAGCCGGCCAAAGGGCCTGCGCTTTGACCTCCGTTCCCAGCCAGACGGGACGCCGCCTAGATGTCGTTGTGCGACTAGCTGATCCACCTTCTCAGCTAGCCGCCCTTCGGTTGGAGGGCTGATTGGGACACCGGGAGTCCCCGCCCGGTGCCTCACCCTCCTGCCCGGCGGTTATGGGGTGAAAAATCTTATCCCCTGGCCGCCGGGCACTCCTGCCTCAATAAGGCAGGGAGGTCAACGACCCCTCTCCTTCATATCCACCTTTGTGGGCTTTGGGTGGGGGGGAAGTGTTTCCCTGGCGACACTCACCCCACTCTCCCCCCCCCTTAGCCTCATCCGACCCCCGTTTTAAGGGCTGGCGGACGGTTGGGGACGGATGGTCTGCCCCCCTTCTCTGCCTTCCTGCCGCTGTTGGTGCGGGAGGCGGCGGCGTTGTTGTCGCCGCTGCCCCTGTCCTTGCGGGTTTATTGGTGTAGATACTGAATATTGAGTGGTTAAGCATTGGGCATCAGTATTGAGTGTCAGTTAAATATGACCATTAATATTCAGTGTTAGTTTGATGTAGATATTTAATAGTGTGTGTCGATTAGAGCGTCAATGGTGTAATGCGCGCGTTCCAGTGGTTAAGAAACCTATATTTTGAATAAAATATAATGTTGAGTAATTAGTCTTTTATTCTTTATTTTTCAGAATATTTCAAGTTTGCAGTGGACGACAATATATACAAATGAAAGTATGTTTTCGTGAAACCATTGTTTATTCATTGTGTTCTCACTTAATAACTTGTAAATGAGGTATTAATTGAATAACTAAATAGGCTAAATATACTTTCACTTGACTGTTACACATTCATTTTGATGGTGTTCCATCAACTGGGTGTGATACACGAATAAAGATATATGTATACTCACTATGCAAATAGTAAAAACGTTAGGTATTAAATATATAACATATATGTTTAATGTCGTAGTTTTTGAATAGGACATTAAACATATGTATTTAATACCTAATGTTTACTATTTGCGCAATGGTTGTATATATACCCTCATTCGAGTATTACACCTCATTCAAGTATTACATTTGATAGTTAACTCTACAATTACAATGAAAACGAATACCATCAAAATGAATATGATACAATTAAATGAAAGTATATTTAGCCTATTTATTTACTCGATCAATGGCTTATTTTTAAGTTCTTAAGTGGAAACAACTAAACAAAGATTTCACGAACATATGCTTTCATTTGTGTGTATTGCCGTGTATTGCAAAATTTTGGTGCATTTAATTTCAGTGTTCCCTTTTCAAGATTTTATTTGGGTATTATTTTGAGAGTTTGCTTGGATGTTATTGGATGTTATTTTGAGGGTTTTCGTTGAGCGTTAACCCTCATTTGGGTGTAACCTTCAATTGACGATTCGAAATCACACTCAATTTGAGTGTTTTTTCGGCGTATAACACCCAAGTGTTATTCGGTGTATAACACTCAAAGTTGAGTGTCTTTTATTGGTGTTTAACACTCAAAGTTAAGCGTTTTTTGAGTGTTAACACCCAAAATTGAGGGTTTTTTTTATAAGGGTATCTTCCGATTTCTTTCTCCGTCAATTTATGAGTTTTTTCCTCATCTTTCTCAGGTGCGATCTTTCACAGAGGTGACGAGGATTACATCTCCGCGTTCCAAAGAGCAATCGCCGAGACAAGGTACGAATATCTCGCACCCGCGTTCGAACTCATCCCTGTCATCAAACACATAGATGCTGATACCGACAGTTTCAATACTGCTGCTAAAGGTGAGATCATTCATGCGGAAAAAAAGGAAAAAACATTAAACCGTGTTCTGAATAATGAATATCTCCGTCCGACATACTCTCTTTGCATGCGTGTTTTTTTTTTCTATTTTGATTCTCGTATCACCAAAATGCTATTTCTTCCTCTTCCCCCCCCCCTCTCTCTCTTCCTCCCTCCCGCCTCTCTCTCTCTCTCTCTCTCTCACTTTATTTATCTGTATATCTATCTATCTGTGCGGTCAGACACGCGACGCGTGCATGAAAGAATTTTTTAGGC